CACTTCTCTTGGTCCACTTGGGATGTAGTTTTTGCTGCAAAAAGCAATCTGATTGGACGCTGGAAAAAGCTATTATTGTGTGCAAGTTATGCTAAAAGGAGTTGAGGCCTAAACTAGCATCACAATGCTAACATTGCAGCAGCACAGATGTCAGCGTCTAGTCCGCATTTCTATAGTATTTTTTTCCAAAGAAGTTACATAAACGATCAAAGTGATTTGCATCAATCCGATGGTGGAATAACCTAAATGCATTTAAAACAAGTATTTGTTGTTTAACGCATCTGTCTATTCAAAAATTCAGCTGCAAAAAGTGCTTTTTTTAATTTAAAATGTTGCTTATTTTGTTGATATGTGGTTTTTGATTTAAAATACAATCAATTACAGAGCCCACAATTAACTTAAAGATTTAATCAAGTCCCACCACTAGTAAAAATCGTATTAACTGCATTGGATACATTTTTAAAATCAAAACTAACGTACCTGCTGAATTAGATTAGGCCTTTCCTTTTATTTACTGAAGTTTGACTGTTTAAGCAGATCTCTGTAGAGAGTACAGTTTTCTTCTTTCTTCCGCAAGGTCATTTAAAAATATCTCAGTAATCTTAAAAAGAAAAAAGCTAAATTTGAGTCATCTTCTCAGTAAAACCCTCCACATAAGAGTATTTTCAGTCCTTATGCTGAATTTACTTAGTGGTAAAAATAATAAGAAAATTGCCTCTGTTGGTAACCAGCCAATTTCTAAGACAAAGATAAACAGAAATTCAAATTAAATTCTTGAAGTAAATTAATCTCAAAACCAAAGATTCTCCAAGGGTTCAAGTGGCTCAAGTCTGTGCTCTCTGATGTGTTGAAGTTGTTTCCAGGGAAGAAAAGGAATCAATGAGAAACACTGACAGACCAAAAAAAAAAAAAAAAAAACCAAAACCCCAACTCTGTCTCTTTGTGCATGAAAGCTTTACCTCCATGTTTGGAGCACAGCGTATCAATCTATTCACTCCTCGATAGGCTTCCACTTTGCAGCTACAGTGAACCTGTACAATGGAGCAGCTTAGCTGAGAGCGTTCGCCACGCTTTTCTGGAACATGTCAGTCATTTAGAACACAAAGACATATTGTTACTGCAACACTAGTGAGTGGTGTGGTTTCTTTTCTTTGGCTGCAAGCCTTCTGGCTTAAGAGGGTAAAACATGACCGATAAAGAAAAAAAACACACAAAAAAACAAAGGAAAATCCTGGTGGTGACTGTGGCAGATCGAGCAAAAAACATTAGAGATCAATAGTTAATGTTTTAAATAATTTATGCCCCATAAAGCAGGGTAAAATAAACAACAAATCTCCATTTTGGCGCTATTGGTATCATAAAAATGAGTTTTGTTTCACAGAGTAACTAGATAAGTTATATTCAGTGAATCACATTAGGAGTAAGTAGTCCACTTTTTGACAATTTTCTGTTTAGAAAGTCTGATGTTTATGTTCTATTGAAAGGAATACAGAACAGCCTGGAATCACATGGATTTCCACTGGAAGATTATCATTTTCCATCCTTATTTTTTTTTAGACACCGGAGGAACCCCGGCAGTCGCTGTAATAAAGTCTTCTGATTTATTCTGGAGTTAATCTGTGAGTTCAGCTTTAGAAAAGATCTATAGACTCCTGATTCACACCTCAGGCTTCTGCTGAAAACAGAACCTCAGATCTGTGGGAAACAGCAGCGCTCCTCTGATCCCTCCTCTTTAAATAACTCTTCCTTTTTACCAGTCATTAATATGTGTGAATACATAGCTGCACATTTTGACCAAAGTTAGCGCTATCAGTAGCAGCGTTCTTTTCGACGCCTATAAACATGGTGTGCAGTACCTCTTAGCAAAAACAGCTTTTCATTTATTTACAGTTGTAAGTACTACATGTTACATTCTTACAACTTACTACGGTTGATGCGAGAAGCGGCCATATTGGAAACAAGTCGTAACCGGGGTAGTCGGAATTGCTCCCAGTCTTGTGGTGGGAAGTCCGATTCCAGAGGCTATTTTTTATTTAATTTCCATTTGGGATAAACTGAACCAAACCAGATATGATCCGTTTGGAATCAGGATAAATAACTTGCTTTCCTACTCTTGAAAAGGTAATCTGCCACCGACACTGCAAGGCAACCAGACTAGAGATGCAAATCTTTTCATGTCCAGTGACTTGATTCAGAAGGTCACAATTCGATACAGAAACTATTTTTAATTCAGAAACAAATTTTTCCATTCAGTCTAGAGATTCTGTTTAAGTTATGTGACTGGCAAGAGGAAGAGAGAATTTAAAACAACTCTATAAGGTTTCACATCAGTATGCTTAAACAAACGCCCAACCTTCTTCCAAATCCTCTGCCGCTCTGGGCAGCTGCCAAGAACAAAAACTGCCTCTACTACCAAACAACACACACACACACAAAAAAAGTATGATAAAGTTTAAAGTGACGATTACATGTATGGCATTTAATCTGGCAGCACTGATGATGATGTAAACCTGCTGCTGCTGCTTCGGAGTGAGAAGACGCAGGAGGTTTGGAGTTCGACAGTGATTGGAATCACCTCGCTGAAAGGTCAGCCGAGATAAAGTTCATTATCTCATCCAGTAAAAGACGATGTAAATATTTTTCTGGTCTTTCTGCGGAGCCCGTTAACAAGACCAACAGGGAGGGATATGATGATGATGCTCGGATTGCTCTGTGTTACGTCTGCTTTCCCTCGAAATTAATTTGGCAGTCACTATTTTAAGAAGCAAATGTCAAATTTAAATATCAGCCTAGGAGGATAAAGACGCTTTAACGTGGATCGAGGGGGAAGAACGAATCAAACAATTGTTGCTGCATCTGATAAACAAAAGATTATTGATGTTCTGTTAGTGAACGCGCTGTAAGTAGGTCTACAAGTCACACATACGCCACCGAAATGGGCCAGAGGGGCCCACTGAGAGCAGATGCTGACAGATTTCAACCATGCACACTGAGAGATATTAATATTACCAGCCGGATTACGCCAAAGGCAGCAGAAAATGTAAGATACACAGGCTCCAAAAAGAAAAAATTATGGAGTTTTTTTTTTTTTTTTTCTCTCTTCGGTGGCAACAGAGAGCCAAGCTGCTCCTTGAATTTAATTAATGAACTCGAAGAACTGAAAACAGAGAAACTTTTACTTTTCAGCCCCTCTGGTAAACCCCCCGCCGCATACAAATATCGGCATGAGTCCGTGTGGGGCTTTTAGAAAGAGGATTAGAGAGAGGAGGTGGGGGAATGGAACAAAAATGCTTTTACTTAGAGTCTGGCATCTGTCTGCAAAATGGAAATGGATAACAGCAGAGCGCCGCTGCTCAATATGTCCGTCATAATCATGGAAAAAAAAAAAGTGTGTTTTTCAAAGCCTTGAAATTTTGCTCGATCTAATAGACGACGTCAAATCACAGCTCAAACTTCAGGAGCCGGACAACGACAAAGCAGAAATGATGCAGGAGGAAAAGGTAACAGAATTATGAAAAGCAGGAGAGCGAGCGAGCGGATCAGGTTGATTGGATTGGACGAAATGTAGACTTCAACATTTGTTTTTTTTTTTAAACCAAAGGATTTCATTTTGTGATGCCTCTAAATAAAAGCTTGCTGAAAGCAAACGTCCTCAAAAGTCAATCAACTGAGGATCAGGTACATTTTATTTTCTAGTTCTTGGATGCTCCACCCCTTTCTGATGCTGCCCTGAGCAACTGCCCATATCAAAACCCACCAATGTTACGCAAAAATGTTAGTGTCAATATTTCTTCTACTACTGTTATAGTCCGCGATAAAGATGGAGAGTATATTCTTTAAGTTTCTTAAAGAATAAAAATGTTTGTGTCCAGTGTGCTGTGCCTTTCCATCATCTTTTTTCTTCTATATGTAGATTTTGAAAGAGCTTAATGGGGAATAAAACATTGTAAAATTCCTTGTAGCTATTTCGAAAGTAGCACCAAACAAAATCAGTGATTCTGATTGCAAAAAAATTAAAAATTAAAAATGGCACAAAAAAAAAATCAATCACGAAATCCTAGAGAAACTAATTATGGTAACAGAAATCAGAGGTTCAGGTATAAAATAATAAAATCATGCACTTGGTTAAATTTTGCCATAATTTATAAGTTTATTCAATGATGGGATCTTGTCAGCCTACAGTTATAAATTAGGAATTGTTCATAATCTGTCTTGCCTGGATAAATAAAAAGGTTCAATAAAAATAAATAAAATAAATAAGTGACGCAAATGTTTAGACAGCTGTGAGTGGGTTTAAAATAATGTCACTGCATGAATCTGGAATGGGTGTGTGATTAATTGCTGACAGTTTAGACAGCCCATTCAATAGCACAAGATCATGAGCAGAATGTAAGGAGCTTTAAACAGTCTGCTGATCTCTGCGTACCTGAGCGCTTAGTTCCTGGGAGCAGACAGATTTTTTAAATGCATAAGGTTCAGCGGCTGTTCAGATCTTTTTAAATCGCATTTAAAAGGAGGAAAACTGTGTGCTGTAAGGCCGGAGCGGTGCTCTTCACTGGAGGAGGTCAGGAATGAAAACATTCAGACGCCGGCCTCTCAGCATGACGAACACGACTGGAAGCGTCTGACATTTTGATCAGAGTTATTCCCCGGACAGCTGGGTTTGATCTCACCCTATCAAAGTATGACTTAAATTCTTATTTCTGGCAATTAAAAGCAACAAGAAGTTGCATTTGAACGCTTTTACTTGTGTGGGGAACTACGTTTCGTTTCATCGTCTTCCGTTTCTGGATTTATCAACTCGTATTTTTACAAGGCTCTGTAGGGAAACTTGAGCCTGGCAAGCAGCAAAATCTCACCATCAGAGGGTAGTTTAAAAAAGGAAAGAAATAAAAAAAAAAAGGAAACTATTACCAGGGGATCCTCTGCTCGTCCCGTGCCAAAGTGCAGCGGAGGAAGGAGATCAGCAGACTTTGCGGCAGGAGCTCTCAAGTGGAAACGGGAAGGCGAAGGCAGCCAGGCTGCAACGACTACAGCTGGTGGAGGAGGAGATAATAGGAGCTGCTGGGAGCGAACACAGCCATGATTCTCCAGCTACCATCAGGAGCAAGAGCTAATGTGACCCACAAAGAGAATATACATTTAATTCATTCACTTCCTTCCTACTTTTTTTTTTAAACACCTTCTATGCTGTAAAATGAGTTTCCATGCGAATAAGACTAACTGAATTTGAATTAAAAGCCAAGCTGGATGTGTGATGTTTTCCATTCCCATCAGACTGGACTGTAAATTACATGCAGTCCTTATAAAAGTCACACTTTTTTCATTATTTAGATTAGTAGGAGCTGTCTCTGTTGTCGCTATGGTTTCTTTGCTAAAAAATAAAAAGAAATAACAAAAACAGACCAAAAAAAGTCCCACAAAATCTGCAGCCTGTTTTCTCCAGTTCAACTACCGACTTCCACTTCTGGAAACTATCCAACGCACAGATAAATCGTCTGCAACTGCCTTTAGTTTGGGAGATTAGAGATCAGTTGATATTTCCATGTGAAACTGATCTTATCTTCCACCGCAAAGGTCTGAAAATCAGCCACTGTGGTCCTTTAATCTGACTAACCGTCCGACTAGCCCTCTAGTCAAATCAGGACATATATATGACCACTTTATTGCTGTGTCTGGTGACTTTACAGACAAAAAAAAAAAAAAAAAAAATCTGGTATCACACAAAATCGAAATCGTCACATCAGAAGATCAGCCAGAAAACTGTAATTAGTGCCTCTAATCAATCGCATTTGATATTTTGGATAAAATAAAAAAAAAAAACCTCAAATGATTCTTTTCTTCTTCCCCAAAACATTTCTATTTTTGTTGTATGAGACATAATGACACAGTGAAATATGTATTTAATATAACTTGGTGTCACAGTTAGATAACTTTAGAACCTGGTAAAGACTACACTGGTTTCATTAAGCACTAGTGTTGTCATCCAACTAAAAATATCACATATTATACTCTACTTAAGTTTGAAATGTAAAACCGAGCATTTTCAAAAAATGTTTCATTGTCTCAAGCCAAACATCTCAGCACTATAAACTGCTTGTGCTTCAGAGGAAGCAGGGTTTTCCCCGGTGTATTACAAGCCTGGCGGGCCGCCAGGCTTTACCTGCCGCCCCACTCACCAGGCTGAGTGTTTTCTGTTTTCATAAAAAAAAAAAAAAAGGCAGTACAAGACCACGTAACACCTCCACTAGAGGGAGTTTTTTGGTAAAAAATAATTTAATCTGAATAATGGTTACACTTTTTATTCCCTGATATCTACATTAGGAATATTGGGTTAATAAACAACAAGTAATAACGAAGACGGGTGATGGTGGCTGTGATTCGAATGCCGCCGAGTCAGATTTGGTAAGCACATGTGAAAGTGAAAACAAACCACCAGGCTGTTTATAGTTTCATTCATGTCCAGTTGAAAGGATCGGTGGGTAGAGAAAACTGTGTGTGATCCCAGCGTGGTGCTGCTGGATATGAATCTATCATCTGCAGAGGCGAGGGATGCGTGTGGCTCGGCTCCAGCCAACGAGATTATCAGATGATCCAATAAAGTTTGGACGACGGTCACAGACGCAGACCTAGATGAAAAACCCGGCGCTGCTTTCTGATGCTGGCTGGCTGCAGAGATGATCCCAGAGAGAGAGGATGAGCGTGAACAGTACAGGTCAGAACGCTTTGCCGTGAAGACCGGTGGAATCAGAGAAGCATCAAGACAGTTTCCTGTTCTCAGTAACAGAAAGCCAATCAGACCGGGTGCAGCTTCTTGTTGGGCTGCTTTTGGAAAGTAATTAATAGATTTTTAACTAATACAATGATTTGAATTGCAGATGACCTAATTAAAATTAAAATGCAGGACTGCCTTTGCGGATGAATCCTTTGAAGACAAAAGCAAACGGCCAAACTGGATCTTTGCACAACGGCTCTTTGAAATCTGTTTCCAGCAGGTACTAAGAAGAGCAGGTTAAGCTAGTTAAGAATGATTGAATATTTAAACTACAATTTCTTATTGGGTTTAATCATTCTCTTTATTTTTATGTAGATGCACCAATCAGAATTTTGTTCATTTTTGATTGACAATTTAAAAAAAACAACAACAAAAAAACAGTTTTGATATGTTGATACCCATTTTAGGCAACTTAGCAAGATTAGTGTGGCTAGCGCTACTACTACTTTTAATGCAATGCTCAAAAACCTGTCAATTCCTCACTTTCCATATTTAGGGGAAAATAAAGATTTTTCTGTTATTTTTAAATTTGGCACAAGGACGTTGAAAGCTTCATGGGAACTTTTGGCCTTCCTGTTATCCAGTGTTTCTCAATTCCGATTCTCACGTCCTCTCAGTGCATCCCTATCTAATACCGGTAATACATCCACATATTCTAAGTCCCCAAGGTCCAATCCTGAGAACTCCCCTATTTCAATATCTGCATGCTTCCACTAGCTCAGGTTATTACAAGAAATACTATTTGTTACCATGGCTGCACAGATGATGCACATATGTCACTGGGTGACTGACAATATCCAAGCACTGAACAGATTTAGATGATGGAATTTGACACAATGTAATGTTTCCTGCTCGTTAAACAATTGGTGAATTTATAAGCTATCATGCAAAGCACTTTGAAATGTGCCATACAAATAATCTTAATGCTTAGAGTTCCAGACTCCCATCACTGATTCACATTTCACAACCAAGTGAGGACCAGAGGGGTCAGTTCTCCCTCCCCAACTTCAAACTTGATGCCTCAGCCCCCACTGGCACTGAACAGACAGACTTTGCAGTATGATTTAAGGAACTGTGGCTAGTTTAATGAGTTGCAGCATTTATTGATTTGACGTCTTCTTCGTCCTTCATAGCATGCCAAATTTAAATGTCCACTCACTCACTCCCTCGCCTGCATAACAATATCACACACACTCCAGACGTTTGGAAGCTGTCCCCGTCAGACGTCCTTTGAGAACTTTTCTTAAGCACTTCTGCATTATGCGATAATGGTTTCCAAGAGGAAATTTTCAAACCAAACACCAGCGCACCCAAGAAATATGTCCCCTAATCGTCTTTGCTGGTGTAACAGAACCAGGAATCTACAGTCCTTAAAGGTAAACAAGCTGCTCTCTGCATCATTAAATATTTACAAAGTTTCTCTAGTAGAAGTAGCCCAATGATTGATGTTAAACTTGGCTTTATGTTAGCATGTTAGCATTAGCTTCCGCTGAATACCGTCTTGGTGTAGTGCTTCAGCATTAGTGGAACTAACGTTTATGATTAGAGTAACTAGCATTTTAGTTAATTGTCTATCATTGCCGATTGTTGTAAAAATACGTTCTACAACAACATATTTCTTCAATTACAACTATAATTTTGGAGCACATCTTCACCAGTTTTGCATATTTATACTTCAAGCTCAGGTAGACTGGTTCAAGAACATCTGAAAACCATGTTGGATTCTGGATTTTCAGTTTAATTTAGGTATTGAATTTGACTGGAACATTCCTACAAGTGAATGTGCAGACAAATAACTTAGAAAATGCTTTTATATTGTTAAGGAAGAAAATCTAAAATAGTTAACTTTGGAAAAAGTTTGGCTCTCTCTTCCTCTGGATCCCAGGTCCTCTCGGCGAGCCACGTGTGGCCACAAGGAAAACAACAATGCGTGTTGACGTCACAGAATTACAGAATTTAATCCAATATAAGACCATGCATAAACTTACACCAGAAACTGCAGAACAACGGAGACATACATTCATTTACCTGACAGACTTGGAAAAGAAGGAAAGAAAGAAAAGCAAGACGTGCAAAGACGTCTTTGGAGAGCTGCAAGAGCAAAATCTGATTTGTTACTTCTGTGTAGAAAGTTTTATCTTCTTTTCTTTAATTTATTCAAACAAGGCGTATCTTTGCTCCTCCAACCAGGACCTTCTCTGACCCTCTATCTGAAGCCTAAAACCCCTGCCGTGTTTACGGCCTTTCACAAATGAGTGTGAAAAACTGGAACTTCTCCTGTATTGTTTTCCCACACAGACAAAAGGCAGTTCAAACGATCCTAGCAAACCATCTGCTGTAACTACAGGTAAAATAAAGGTCAATAGGCCAGAATAAGTTGCTGATTTAAAACCACAATTTAGGCCATTTGAATCAAGACATGTTAAGTTTTAAAACTAGCTTATTTTAAATTTATTTTCTCAACAATATATATATAAAACATAGAAAAATTTGTGGTGGTTGACTGAATATGAACATTTTTAGGGGAATGAACATTTCTTTTTCGAAGCCACTGTGTCAATAACATATTTGTATTTGCTATAACAGCTGTCAGTTCACCAAGGAGGAAACCATGACTATTGTCTCAGACTGCAGCTTCAAATTGGCATTTAAGGCACCTCATATTTTGGCACCTCTACATTACTACTTAATGGTGACTGACACTAATTCCAAGCTTGATGTGAAGCCAATGCCGGTGAAAGGAAAATGGGCCCAAATTCAAACTGATAGTCTTTATAAAGTGGCAATTTCCAAAGCAGACTAAAGAAACACAGCTGACATTTGACGAGCCATGCCGTACTGTTCCCCGAGGGCACCCAAATGCCATCACGCTAACAGCAACCAACAGCAATCTACGGGCTGACGGATTTTCCCATTAAACCGAGCTGACAAGAAAAGCAGCATCAAAAGCATAAGTACATTGAAAGTATGAAACGAGTTAATAAGCCTGCCGGTAATCCACTTTTCTTTTGCGGTCTTTACAAACACCATTCATCAATGTCACGTACAGTTTATCTCATCTTGGAGGACCGCACGTTGGGCCATAAATCGAAATCCAATCATTCCCAGCACTGAAATATGATGTAATTAAAAAGAATCTGGTTGTGGCCTAAGGGGCCTTTCGTTTTTTTCCCCCCCTTTCTAACCCAGCCAAAAATACACCTTCTATTTCCTATCCGTGTGAGAACTGCATGAAGTGATTTAATGTAGAATATGTGAAAAAGATCGATGCTTTTAGTCGCTGCGTAACTCAGACAGGCAGGATGCCATCACAAGTAGAAAGCCCTGGTGTGAAGGGCTGAATGAGTGAAACCCGGGCGGATTATGCGTGAGCCCCGGAGCTGGCTTCCTCTCACAGGATGTCAATAAGATTTAGCTTACAACACAGCAGCCGTAAACAGAGCTTCTACAGATATAAGGACTGTAATCACAGGAGGAAGTGTTGAATAGTAACTTTTCGCTACGGCTTCTAGTTTGTTTTTTTTTAAAGGCGGATGGGAACCATTGATTTTGAAGGAGATGCCTTCAAAAAAAAAGTCATAACTCTTTCTGACAGCGCATTAGTGATTTATTGATCTGCGGCGGTTGTCGCTTTTTGAAAGATTCCAGCAGATGTAAGGAGGGCAAATGGAATCAATCAGAACATTTGTTGGAGTTTGGGTTCCACAGGAAAAAAAAAAGTGAAATAATTAAAAACATTTGCACTTTGTCACAAAACAAGACATTGCCCAAAAAGGTATGACATTTTCCTAAGATCACTGTAAAGCTTTGCAGATAGAAAACATTAAAATTTTTGTCCAGTCTTGCATAACAACGCAACTTCAGTATAATTAAACAGAGAGCAAACAATTAAATAATGATTCTCATTTTGATTTAAGTCTGAGCTTTGACTAAGCCACTGATCTGTAACCTGTAGCTGACTAAGACTTTAATAAGTTTAACCAAGATTGTAAAGAACTGAGCAATGATTTAAATATCCAATTTAAACGTGTTGTCAATATAGACCAGAATTAAATAAGTTTAATTAACTTTTTTATTATTAAGTTGCAAACAGTTTTTTCCCAACATTTTTCATAAATAATGATTTCAAGAAAATGTAGTCATTGTCTTTCTGTAAAAGTATTATTCTTTTTTATAAAAGCTAGAAATAGAAGTATTTTTACTAATAGGTATTCATAAATAGCACGAGTCATTTTGCTTTTGCAGCTCAAGAAGGCAAAACAATTGCTTAGATTGATAAAGTTTCCCAGATTAATCCAATTTAATCCATGAATATGCTTCAGTTTAAACCAATCACATTGCAGCTCTAGCTGTACGTTTAAGGTCATTGTCTCTGTTTCAGTCTAGGCTCTTTTGCAGCTTCCAGCAGGTTTTCTTCCAGGGCTGCCCTGGTTCTGCATCCCCACAGGATGCTGCTGCCACCAGGTGTGTTCAGAGTAACACGACTCCTGGAGTCACATTTTGCAAAGTTACACTCTGGTCTCATCTAAATGCTTACAGAGTCTCCAAATGGCTTGTGGCACTTTATTTGAGGGGTATCAAAGTAAAAAGGGTTGAACAGGAATACATGTCACATTATGTCAGAGGTTCTCCAACTGTGGAGCGCGCCCCCTACGGGGGCGCCGTGCCATTGCAGGGGGGGTGCGGGAAGCCGTCTGGATGAAAGAAAAAAGAAAAAAGAAAAAAAAACGAGCGTTGTATGCGCTGGATTTTTACCTTAGAATGGCCAACTCTCTGTTATTCCTATGTCAATTTGATACAGTAGAGGCTTCCACACTTCCCATATTTGTGTCCTCTGTCACTTTTATCAGCAGTTAAAACTGTTTAATCCGTTGTTAACATGGTGTAACCTGTTTTTCCGAGCCGCCTTTAAACGCAACATGAGCGCTACGACGCTCGGGCTGGGTTTCCACCTGTGAAGGAGACCTGCTGCTGCTGGGCGGAGCTACGTAGGTTTGTGTTAGAATCACGGCAGCAAACCAGCAAAACACAAAGAACTTTTCACAGTTTTTCCCCCAAACTAACAGACTGTTGAGTAAAGCTGTTGGATACAGGTAATGTTAGGTAAAAGATGACTAGCTAGCTATATACAGCACCTTAAGCTTGTTAACAAGTAGCTTGTAGGCTACTGGTGTTGTTGTCTATGTTCAGCTACGTACATTCATTTTGCCCCCCCAGAAAAGACGATCCCCCAAGGGCAAAGAAATGTGGTTGAATAAGACAGCTATTTGTAATCCACTGGGGGGCCCAGGAGAAAAAGTTTGGGAACCACTGCATTATGTCATATTTGTTTGTAAAAAGCTTTTGAAACTACTCTGTACTATTTTGCACAATGTATGAAGAAGTGAATGTAATTTCAGCTTTTGTAGTATGCATTTCCCCAGAGGTTTTATTTGGATCGTCTGTTTTTCCATTCTGTGTCTAAGTATTTAAGTCAAAGGGACACCTTGTGTTAGTTTATCAAAATGAGTTTGTGATTGCTAAGCAGAAATGTGAAACATTGAAAGTGGTTTTAAAGCTTCCAGGGTTTCTTTCCGTTTTCATCCTCAGTGGTGACTTAGGGCTGCCAGTGTTAACTACCCAGGCTGCCTCTTTAAGGTTGAAAGCCAACAGTTGCTTAAAAGAAGAGATGAGCTCTGCTGCTCTGGTGTAACCCCAGGACTGGAGAGGTATTGATGTAACCACATCAAGGAGCGCTGTAATTCCAAATAAAAAAAGACGAAGGAGAATCGGACCTGTAGGAGGGAGATCCATGGCGTTCGGGTTTCAAAGCTAGGTGTCAGAATAAATCTCTTAGAAGGGGATTTTTTCCCCCCCTCGGCTTGCAGCATGAATTACTCTGACCCTTTGACTGGTGTGTCACTAAAGGTCGTATCCAGAGCTTTCCATTTTCGGCGTTAACCTGGAGTGGACTGTGGTAACACTCAGCAAAATGTGGATCTACAGCCTGATAAACCACTTACACTCATATTAAGCGTCAAGGTGCACAGCAGTAATAAAAAGGCAGCTTGCTCCCATCTACTTCTATAGATTTATTCCCTTACTGGTTTGTTTTATCTTCCTGACACGCATGTAAATGCCAATAAGACCAGCATCAGTGATCCTTCTTGTTTAAATGATGGCATGCACTTAAAATGACAGATTAAGTACAGCAGTGATCCCAGGTTTAGCTATATTGCTCCAATAGGCAGCAGCTTATGATAGTTATTATTAAAATGACAGGTTAAATGCAGAAAGGTAAACATTTAGCTTAAGTAACTATTTTTCTAACAACTATGGTGCAGCTACAGATCAGAGAAATCAGCAAAGGTCAAATAGCGTGTTCTTAAACAAAGCAGCAAGCCATTTAACTCAGTTTCACTCCCACAGGCAGCATCCCTCCAGCAGCTGACAGCCCGAGGTGACCGTTTTCATCGCCAGAAAACACACACGCTCACCTCAAAACACACACCCAGTGGTCCGCTCTTCTGCAAACACCTACCCGCGCCAGCGCTCCCGGCTTCCTCCGTTCCAATAACTTGTCCCGGGTCTCTCTCAGCTCCGTTCTCTCCGCTTCTATCCTCGCCGCGCGGCGTCTCTCGCGCCGCACGCCGCTCTCGTGCTGCCGGTGCCGCGGAGGGAGAGGAGGGAGACGGTGGGGGAAGCCGTCTGCCCAATCAGCGGAGGACTGACGGGGAGGAGGAACTGTAGCCAATAGGGACCTGGCCGCGGCCGAGAGCGGGCGCGAGCGCAGCGACGTCGGGGTTTTTGTTCCAGCGCGAGATAAGACTTTGAAGCAACAGAGCGAGCGCTCGAGCATCTGATGGCATCTGATCCAAACTACACCCACGTCCCGTTTAGGCTGCAGGGGAGGCTTCAGCACAAAGCCCGACTGCTGTTCGGAAACACTCATGTTACTGCGACTGATCCAACACATTGGAGGAAGTTGAGAAAGTATCCACAACCATTGAACTTCTTCAGAATGTCATGTTGCAACCAAAAACATATTTTATAGATATTTTTTGTTGATATATTGCATTAAAATCTGTTGCTGAAAATACCAAATATCTACAACGCATTTCAGAAAATTATCTTCAAGGAAGTGTTTAAGTACCCTACTAATG